ACTGGGTATTATGCACAAACAATGAATCATGGAACACTACATCAAAAACTAATGATGTAATGTATGGTGGTTAACATAACAATAAAAAACTAAAAAAAAACTAGAGAGCCCTGAGGTGATTTTATCTTCCACCTTAAAGGATTTAGTTTTCTTCTTAGACTCTGGGCCCCTTAATCCTGCCTGCTTAGAATAATTCCCAGTGCTTAAAATCAGTTGTTCTCTTAATTTTCTCCAGTTCTTCCAGTCATCCTCGTTGAGAGATTTGGTCTAGTACCAGCTACTTCATCGTCACCGGATGTGGAATTCTGCCCTTTGCCTTTTTTCAAGTTGCTCCTCTCTTTTGGACACTGCGCCCTCTTACTTGCCTTTCCTCTGACTCTTCCTTTCTAGTGCCTGTGCTTGCTTTTGTTCTTCCTTCAGCTTTCCCATAGTTCAGGTCATAGATGTCTGCTCTGTAGATACTTCCTACGACCCAGGAAACCACCTGCAGGCCCGCAGCATTAAAACCCATTTTAGATTTGTAAGCCTCTCTCTCGCGTACTGTAGTTGGCAGCCTCTATGATCCCTGCCTCCTGGTACTCATGTCCTTGTGTGATCCGCTCCCCTTGAGTGTGAGCTAGACATGGTGATTCATTTGGAAAATAATGGAATACAGCAGTACTGAGAATATGTCACTCTCAAGATTAGGTTATTATAAGCGTGTGGCTTCCATCTTGGGTTTTCTTGCTAATTTTCTCACTTTTTTAGATTACTTGCTCTGGGGGGAGCCAGCTGGCATGTTGCATGAACAGCCCACATGGTGAGGAACTGAAGCCTCCTGCCAGCAGCCATGTGAGTGAGCTTGGAAGTGGATTTTTCTGCCCTCATACAAATGCAGCTCTGGTCAACAGACTTGCAGGCAATCTCAGGAGAGAGCCAGACTTGCCACTTCTGGATTGCTAACCCTCAGAAAGTATGTGAGATAATAAATGTTTGTTATTTAAGCTGCCAGATTTGGGGATAACTTGTTACACAACAAGTGTAGATAACTAATATACATACCAGTTCCATGTGTATGAAATTCTTCTGGATTTTCCATAAAGACAATCATATTATCTGCAAATAATGACAGGGTGTTTTTGTTGTTGTTGTTTTCTTTGCAGTTCTTCCACTTACGTTATTTTTCTTTAAATTTGTCTTTATTGTGAAATAAAAAGTACTGATAGAGCCCCTCCCCCACAAAAAAAACCCAAAAAGCAAAAAATGACCAAAAGTTTTTATGCTCAAGCCAACTGAAGGTGCAACTCATTCTCATCTACAATCTCAGATCTATTAGGAGTTCTGTGCCTTGAGGGGAGTTGAAAAATAATGTCCCTAGGCAAGTTAAATTAATTTATGGAGTTAAACACAATCATGAGTCAGTCCCACTGTATTACTTATTAGCTATGCAACTCTCAAGAGTGTGCATTTAGTACAAAGCTTGCTAAATGTTTCTCCTGCTTTCACTAGCATGAATTCATCAGAAATTTATTTGTACCTTTTTTTTACTGGGATAGAGTGCATAGGGATTTGGGAGTATTCTGGGCTTACTAAGAACCAAACTAGTGCATTGATTGGTTTCTTGTCAGTCCCACACTCTTCATAAAATTTGTTGAAAAAGTGCTCCTAAACATGGCTATAAGAACACATCCCAGGGCGCCTGGGTGGCTCAGTTGGTTAAGCGACTGCCTTCGGCTCAGGTCATGATCCTGGAGTCCCGGGATCGAGTCCCACATCGGGCTTCCCGCTCAGCGGGGAGTCTGCTTCTCCCTCTGACCCTCTTCCCTCTCATGCTTTCTATCTCCCATTCTCTCTCTCTCTCAAATAAATAAATAAATAAATCTTTAAAAAAAAAAAAAAAGAACACATCCCAGAAAAGTCGTTAAGATAGGGAAATATTAAAATTTGAATACTTTCCATTTTATGCTATACTCCAACTACTCAGGAAGATTGATTTTCCCAAAAGATCATTATTTTGTTGTTAATAGTTGTAGATGAAGTTAGAGGAGGCTGAGAGGATAATAAATTGGATTACACAGGAGAAGGGTAGACCATAAGGAGGAACCCCCTGGTTTCCTGAGAAAACCTGACAAGGGAAGAACAATGGAGATGGGGAAAGGAGGGGAGAAAGAGAGAGGAAAGGAATGGAGGGATGAGACATCTATGAGGAGTGGAACTGTAGGGCAAAGTAGGCTCTCAGAAATATTGAAGAAAGGCTTGCCGTGGCATATAACCCTTCTCCTCCATGCCCCTAAATTTTTTACATAAAAATCTTTATGATTCGTCAGTGCTTTTGGACATTCTGTATATTGTTATTTCTGGGTTGGTTAGTTTGCTTTTTAATGTCAGACTCCATGTTGGGATTTTCCTGAGGGTGAGAACAGGGACTAGAAAGCCTGATTCAGTGGCATGTTGGCTATAATTCCCCAGGAAAAGAGGATAATCACTACAAAGCAGCAGACACAAGAACATTATATTTCTAGGCCAGGAAAGTGGAGCTTTATTCAGGAGCAACAACAAGATACAGAACTCTTCCTGTAGAAGGAAATACAGACTTTTGGATCTGACGCTCTGACAGCAGTGTCCCTGCGGGCACTGCAGGAATTTCTGTTTGGGACAGGGTGACTTGACACCTAGAAGTCAAAAGGTCAGATGTAGAATTTGGGCAATTCTAGTAATTTCTTGCTATGAATACCACCTAATTTCATACTCTGGGTCCACTTGGGGAAGAGGTCAACAAAGGTGAGAGTTTGGCCTGAGGCTGGGATGTGGACACACAGTTGTTGGGAATGGCCACCCCTGAGGCATCGTATAGTGTATAGAGTCGGCTGCTGGATGAAACCAGTGAAGGGGAGAAGGTGGGCTCAGGGAAAGGTCTCAGCAGCAAGAGGAGGCACAGCACATGGGACGGGGGCAGGTGGAGATGACACAGGTGGGGCGATAGCAAGTGGTGTGGCAGGAGACCCGGCCACAGACTGGGCGCAGGCAGCAGGAGGGGCAGCAGCAGGAGGGGCGGCAGCAGCTGGAGCCACAGCAGGAGGGGCGGCAGCAGCTAGAAATGCA